CGTCAGTATTCCTTTTCCATTGTGGGCTCCGCAGTTGACATAGACCGAATCCTTGGTGTCCTCTCCATAAGCTCCTGAATGATAAAACAAATATAAAAAAATACAATAGTAGACGAATGGCATCTGTTGTCATTCACTATATGAACACTTGACTGAGATTTTTCCACTTGCATGTCTGGTAACCGGTACTATAATCAGCGAAAATGATGATCAGTACCATAGTTGCAGGTACCATATATTCATGGTCGTATGAAGATGCCTTGAGGAAACATCAGAGGCGTCAATATTCTGCATTCCTCACCTTTATGTCTCAAAAGAATGCAGTGCAAAGAACGAGCTACGAGTTATATTCGATGCCTCCAGCGAGAAATTGTCTCAATGAAACAGTGTACCAAATTGCAACAGGAACTCTCAGATCTCAGATATTCTCCTGCTTTAGAAGCCACACAATGCGGGTGGTGGCGTTGTTACAAGTTAATTGAAATTTTTTACTTTAAGAAAAAATAACCTAGGGTCGTGGAATTCAAAAAAAAAAAAAGATAACATGTAGTCCCTCTATGTGCAAATGAAACCACTCAAAATCCAACAAACAATAATTTTATTTCGTTTACAATGTTGTGTAGTAACCAGAGATAAGTAGTCACATATAGTAAATAGATAAGAAGTAGAAAGTAAATAGATAAGAAGTAAAAAAAAAATTAGATCAACAAGGTAGTCAGAATTTAAGTCAAGAAATTGTAATTCAATCGTTCAAATAAAAATAATAAGAAAAATACCCTTCTAAATTTAAAGAAGAAATTTATAGGAAATTGAAAAAAAATTCAAGATATATTTTCCTGTAGAAAAAATTGTATAGAGATAAACTTCCGAAATTATATGGAGATAACATTTGAGTTTTAATCACTATTAAAATCAAAGCACACCCCCTTCGACCAACAGAGCGAAAAGCGCCTATAAATTAGTCAAATAATTAATTGAGAGAATGGAAAGATATTGAAGTTATAAACGTATTGAAAGATATTGAAATTATAAAGTTATTGATAGAAAAAAAAAATTTAAGGCATTCTTGAAGAAAATTAAGATAATTACTTAAATATGAAAAATTGAATCACAAATCGTGGATTTTTGGAACCTGAATCGATGAATCACTCTAGCACTTGTAATAAGAGAAAAAATTACTGTAAAAAAAAAGAAATGTTGCTGGTTGAGTGTCTGTTCTGCTATGCTTTTTGAGACTCGCCAATCTCTTTCTTAAAACCAAAGGAAAAGTAAGAACGGACATCACAGAAGAAACTGTCAGGAAAGACCCAACAGTGAAAAGATTGAAACGCCAATTTATACGTAATGTATTTAGTTCTGGGCGGAGTTCCCGGAGAGGAAGTAAGAGAGACCTTTCATCCCTTGCATATAACGGGGATCAGCCGCCATATACAAGTTATCCGTAAAAAGACTCAATCAAGAAAGGATAGGAAAGAAATCAGCGTGCGGCCGAACACACCAAGGAATGCAATTATCTCAATTAAGCGCTAATCTCAAAGAACCACCCGACTCTAACTCCTGCTACCAAACCTGTGTCAATAAGGTGGTACACAGCAGCCTGTCCAATTGATTTCCCCCAACGGACTAGAAAAATCACTTAAACAGAAGTTGAGCAGCTCGTATAAGAGAAAACTTAAGATAACCACATAGCGGAGTGGTGCGCGCGGTAATCAATAATCAATAAAAATTCAAATTTTGGTTGTTCTTCACAACAAAATGTCCTGATCGAGAAAGATACAAAGATAAATCATGATGTATACTATTGAAACAAAAGATAAAGATAGAGATAAAAGTTATGTCATGACACTGAGTTATTTAATCATTATACATATGCTTTAGGAGCCAGAATACTTTACTCGAGGCTTTGCTTTCAATCATTAAATGCTTTAGGCAGAATACTTTACTCAAGAACTTTATTCTTAAACAGGGATGGAAATTGAGAATTTATATGGAATTTCAGGTAAGGACAAGATTTCCCTTGGATTGGGAAATAAGGCAAATCAAGAGCTCACGAAGGCAGGAGCGCTGTATTCCTGTACAGACTTTCTTTCACCGGGATGGCTAGAGAGAAGTACTATTCGCTTCCTACTTTAGAGAGAGAATTCAATTGCAAAAACTAAATAGTGGGTGCCAATGAACAATACTACTGAACATTAGAAAACCAAGGTATTGAAAAATCTATGAGAGAGAATCCAAAAATACAGAGCAAAAATTACTAAAAATGAAAAGGACTTGCCTGCCAGACTTCTGTCGAGAAAAGAGAACGTTTTAGAGCCCAAACCCCACAGGCAAACGATCCTATGTTTTTTATACTTAACTGCATTTTAACCAGTTCAACCAATCAGACGAGTACACCCAAAAGATCATATTCACTTTACAATGAAATCACAATGAAAAACCGCGTGGAATAAAAGAGAATAGATAAAAATCCACTAGAATTATTTTAATTACACAGTGTGGTTTTCGTCCAGGAATATGTTAATGAAAAGTCGGTTTTCGGCTTATTTGGACTTTATTTAATGAAATATCTAAATCAACAGCCAACGTTTCGACGCATTCCGCATCATTCTCAAGGCTAAAAGAAAACATGCAAAGAACGTTACAAGCATTTCACAACGATTAACATTTTAAAAATGACTGACAAAATAAATTAACATTTAACAAAAAAAAAAAAAAAAAAAGAAGCATTTACAAAGGTTTAAAAAATAAATTAAAAAATGACGTATAAAAAAGAAATTAACATTTAAAAAGTTTCAACAATGACTATTACATAACAAGAGATAAGTAAAATGAGTTTCACAAATTATATTTTTGAAAAACTATCAATCCAGACAACATAGAACCAATTACCTAATTTGACTAATAAAAACGTCGTATTGTTATCTACAAAATACCTTACCAAAGTTTACCTTACCTAGATTATTAAAGCTATGAATCGCATCATTCGGACCGATTCATCAATAACAACAAACAAAAAAGTTCACACACCAAAGAGCGGTACTATTGCTTGCCGTGATGTTTCGGTACTACTTTTTCATATCGATCTGCATTGGTACGTAAAACTAAATTATTGATAATGTTGATTCCCACCCCACCAAATTTCACCTTTAAAAAAGCTTAATTTGGGGAACAGAACCAATTGAAAACAATCGAATGGTCGGTTTATAACTGATTGGTTATGATGTTGCAGTAAATTGTACTTAAGTTTTGTGTATCCATGTTAAGGTTTACATTGGGTTTATTAGTCGTTATATGGCACATTTCTAAGAAGAGTCTTTGTTGAAAATTAGGGTGACTGTCTAAGATAGTCGATGATTGGAAGTCAAACTGGTGTCCAGTTTCGAAGTAATGTCTTGCTAGTCCTGTTTTTGGATTATCTATCTTAGTAATATTACAATCCCTTTTGTGTTCTGATATGCGATTTTTCAGATATTGTTTTGTTTGGCCTACATAGCATACATTGCAGTTATTGCATGGTATTCTATACACTACATTACTAGTGTTATCTTTAGGGGTGGGATGTTTAACTTGGGAAAAAAGATTTTTAACTGTTTTTTTATTGTACATTGCCACTTCAGCGGTCTGTGTACCAAGTTTTTTTCCGAGGGGTTCAGATAGACCTTTCACATATGGTATTTTGTAATATTTTTTGATAGTTTGCAAACTGCCATGTGTGTTGGTGCCATTAGCGTTTTTGCGGGGTTGTTGGTTTAAGATACGGTTGGTAAAGTTTATGGGATAGTTATTTGCAGATAGGAAACGTTGGCTGTTGATTTAGATATTTCATTAAATAAAGTCCAAATAAGCCGAAAACCGACTTTTCATTATTATTTTAATTGTTCACAAATTATAATAATTTAAATTAGGGTTATGTCAAAAATAAAAAATTGTTAATTAATTAGGTCATTAGGCCAAAAAATGATTATTTCAGAATCAGAAGTTAGAGAAAGACGGAAATATATCCATTTGTTAAAAGTGAGATAAATATAATTTCTTTGAATGACTATTTCACTAGAGTGTATTACATCGGCAATAAATTCGGTATTCAGCTGACAATATTGCTACCTGGACAATACCAACAACATGGTATTTCAGTGACCAAACTGATATTTTTAATTTGACGTTTTTATTCATATTTTTTCATTCTATTTATTTTCAAAATCTTACGTGAAATAGTCATGACGAATACCACTCGAGAAAAAAGTGTGTACGCAAAATTGCTTTCAAGGTTTTATTCAAGTTTGTTGCTTGTCGGCAATTTCGCTCATGACATTTTTCATAAAATCACTCGCCTGATGGCTCGTGATTTTGTCAAAAATATCACTCGCGAAATTGCCAAGCAACTAACTTTCATACCTTTCGAAAATTTTGCCGACAAAATTTTTTCTCTTGTGATATTATATATGAAAATGCAAATGAATATCAAATAAACATAGCCAAGGAAAACTATCACAATTAAAAAAAAAAAAAACTCATCCGGTACTAGATGGCAGCATTGGTAAATGAATTCTAGATATTTGCATTTTACGCACATGGATAGATGGCAGCACTTGTATTATTTTGACTTTGTGGATATTTTTATTAGGAATTATTATTTTGCTGATTCTGAAATTAAAAAAAATACAACTTTATAATGAAAATGAGAAGAGATGGAACATTTTACGTAAATGATAAATTTATCGTAACAGCGTACGGCACTGGCGTATGGAGGAATAAGGATAGCAAATCGATGCGTGGAAAGAAAGTACCGCACAACGTTATTCGGGTGTTTTATAGAGGAATAAGGACAGATGACCTTAAGCCCTATATCGTATATTATTTTTTGTATATTGAACGTAGCCACTACGATTGTGTAGGCATAGGTATCATCTATATAGGATACATTATATTAGATTCAATATAGGAAACTTCACACTTCTATCATGCGGGGTGATACACTAACATATTTATTATTCTTATAGTGATGGTGGAGGTAGATCCGGAGTCTATTTATCAGTAGACGCCAATATGGAACTTGGTGAAGAAGAAGACAAATTTGACGTCTTCGGGTATCTCAAGAAGTTAAGGCAGTCTAGAATGGGTATGGTAGAAAATGTGGTAAGTACCTATACTTTGAATTGAAGACGTATTGATAAAAAAAAAACAGTATCAGTATCAAACTATTTAGTTAAACTTTGGGTTAAAACTAGGTTAAACCTATTTGATTTTTTGTTTGTTTACTTTTTCCATACAGTACATAATCGAATATGACTAAAATAATTAGGTAAGTGAAATTCAATAACGTTGAAAACATAAATTTAATTGAAATTTCACATTGGAACTCCATTTCAATTACCTAAATAATTGTTCCCATTTCAAAATGATCGATTCAAAATTTGATTATTTGCGAACCTGGGCCACAATTTCTATTTCCTATTAATGCCGCTTGTTGTTGGCCTAAATTTTATTCTAATGGCAATAGTAAAATCACAAAAAATCTTCTTTTTAGGATCAATACAAATTCGTCTACGACACCCTCGAAGAGTACGTTACCTGCGGCAACTCCTGGTTTAGCGTGAGTGAACTTTCTCAAAGGCTCAAGCAGAAATCCCAGAAGAACGCTATGAGCAAGTTGAACGAGTACCAAAGAGAATATATGCTTATTTGCAAGCAAACCCCTAAATTTACTATCGGAGATTGTGCTGGAGGTCATAGAGGAGATAATCGGAAGAAGAATAGGGATGTTTTGATTGTTCCACGTAAGTAATTACCTTCGTTGTAGAAACAGTTAAAAATAAAGAAAAATTGAAAACGTGCCTTTTAAGATTAGAGGCTAGCAATTTATTACTCTTCACGCGTCACGAGTTGAATTTATTTTATTTTACGACGATAGAGTCTCTTGGCCATTGTTTTCTTCGGAACAAAATACAATTTTTCATTCTATCGATATTTCTTAAGTTCAAGGCTATACCACGCCATCTAATCCGAAATGTTTCCAAAGCTTCATTTGAGATTACCTTCCTTCACTTATTCGGTATTCTCTCTGCCATATAATGCAGACTAATTAACGTCGGTCGCGGAAGCTCCGTCGACTCGGGAATATCTCCCAGTGCTTTGACTATAATATTTCCATAATGAAGTTAAGTCATTGTTAAAGGGCTAAAGGCTCCCGTTCTAATTGAGACAAGTTGATTTACTTGTCTATGAGATGTTAGAGGAGGTGTCAGATGTAATCTTTTCTTGTTCCGAAAGCATAATTTTGCTAGTTAAAATACCAAGACGAATTAGGAGGCTTAAATTGGAAATGTTTTATTCATTTTCATTTAAAGCTTGGGAGGTTGTTTATACACTGGACCACTGAAACCATCTTTTTTTGTTTTCCATGATGTTGTGGGCAATTGGTACTATGAGTAAGTCCTACGTTGAAACTTACCAACAAGAAACCGTTCATATAATTAAGGATTTTTCATATGTGATGTAATTAAATTGAGCAGAAACCAGGTAGCTCCCAGCGCAAATTGAAATAAATAAAGTTTTTGGCACCACAATACTACTTATTTAAGTTCTTTACTAACTACCCCTTATTTTTATATCCAAAAGATAAAAATTCAAACTTCTTTTTAAAGCCTTGAAAATGATTCAAATAAGACATGGAAACGTGCCAAGATTTGAATATTCAAAAGGCATTTTCGACTCAATCTACCCTATGAATAAAAAAGAGCATTTGCTTTTTCTCGCAAAATCTGAAGCAAATGCTTCATCCAGTATGAATAAAAGTTCAAGCAAAACCTTATACTTAAAAGTAGGAAGCAAATGCTCCAGGAAAAAGCAAATACTCTTTTTCTTATGAATAAAAGAGAGTATTTGCTTCAAATTGGGAGCATTTACTCCTTGCAAAATGCATCTGCTCCAGAGCAGATGTATGTTTACTATTTTGGTAAATTATTTCCGAATATTCTTATTTCCCGTTTTTTTGTAGATTGTAGATTGCATTAGCAGTTGCTATATCTTGTTCCTGCTGCTCTAGTGTTCAAGATTTGTAGGCTCCTTCCAAAGGAAGCCAGCTTCCTGGGTGGTAAAGTACTCACCTCTTGGGGTATGAGCAAGGTATTTCAGCCTTTTGCAGAAGTGACTAGGGCATTCACAGACTAAGTGTTCTGTAGTCTTTAATGCTTGTTCGCAAGATCTGCAGTAATCGTAAACTGATTTGCCTATTGTTTTTAGGTGATTTCACCAGAAAATGCCCAGTGAGCAGTCGACCAACGACTCTTCCAATGTCTCTTCTGTTTATTGTCAAGAATCTGTTCAGATCTCAGATATATGAATCATCTTCATCTGTTGATTTCTTTGGAGACGTGGCTTCTCATTAGTACACAGAAGGCCACTGGGCCTTGAAAAGCTGTTAAAGCGCCTTGCTTCGTGAGACAGCCCGCCTCCTCGTTGCCCTCTCCACTTTATTCCTATCAGCCAGTTGTTTAAGTATATTTTTACCCTCCCAAACTAGCTGAAAATTGCACTTGATTGGGTTCTAGAATCTTTAGAGCCGTTTGACTGTCGGACAGTATGTAAATGTGCTCTCCTAAAAGGTCTCTTTTAAGACAATCTTTGGCACAGATGCTTATGGCCAGAACCTCAGTTTAAAATTTTGTGGACGTTTTGCCCATTGCTAATGAGAGTTTAAACTTTAAAGTTTGGTTCAGTTATTCCAAGACCGACTCCTTCCGTTACCTTCGAACCATCTCTGTGTGACTGTGTACCACCAATCAACGATGCCATAATCAGCCGTATGAATAAAAATAGAGCATTTGCTTCTAAGCAAAAGGTAGAAGTATAAGCAAAAGCTTCAAGCAAAAGGTAGAAGTAGAAGCATTTACTTCATATCATATGAATAATGAAAACCTTTTACTCGCGAGCATATGCTTCAAAGAAATTAAGTTAAAGATACTACCTGTAGTAGGTACCTGATATTTCAATCTAAGGCTCGAGTGCCAAAGTAAACCAAAAGATCATATGCTAACATCACTGGACTTTGACATTCCATATGAATTGGTTGTAGAAGAACTCCAATCATGGAAGAACGCAAAGCTACCTACCGCAAGCGGACAACGCATCATTGTGGTACACAGTCACAAAGATGGTTCGAAGCCAACGAGAGGAGTCGGTCTGGGAATAAAAAAAAACTCTCCTGAGCAATCGGTAAAACGCCCACAAAATTTCAAGGTGAGGTACTGGCCATAAACATCTGTGCCAAAGAGTATCTTAAAAGAGGCTTTTAAGAGAGCACATTTGCATACTGTCCTACAGTCAAGCGGCTCTAAATGCTCTAGGAGCCATCAGGTGCAATTCTCAGCTAGTTTGTGAGGGTGAAAATATTCTTAAAGGGGGTGTGCGCCAAAAATTAAAGTTTTAGTGTAAAAAAATCTAAGAATAACGGTTCAAACCTCGTTATTCTACGATAAACCATCGCGATATACCGCTTTAAAGTGTGGACGACATTCTCGTGACGTCACGAAAACTTCTTCCAGCCGCGCTCCGCATTGTTAATTTGATTGTTCCCGGCACGCCTGAGTGGTTTTTGTTTAGATTATTGCAGGTAACACAGGAAAAAACATATATAAATTTAATTAACTCCACTTTCTCGTGCGTCGCTTGAGCTTTCGTGACGTCATATGGTGAGATGCGGTACCTTCATAGAGCCATATCTGCGGTATTATTTGTCATAGAGAGGTGCAGATTTCACTGTTATTCTTAGATTTTTTTTCTCTTTTTTTGAGATGAAGTTGTTTTTTTGGCGCACACCCCCTTTAAGCAACTGGCTGGGTCCGGCTGGGAGGTATAAAGTAACCCTGATGTGGGTACCAGGATACCACCGCATAGAGGGCAACGAGAAGGCGAACCGTCTCACAAAACAAGGCGCTTTAACATCTTTTTAAGACCCAGAGCCTTTTTGTAGACTAATGAAAAGCCACGTCTCCGAAGAAATGAACATATGATAAAGGTCATATGTGATCTGAAGAACTTCGCATGAACAGAAAAGACATTAGAAAGTTGGTCGCCTCACTGGGCATTGCCAGGTGAAATAGTACCTAAAAACAATAAGCAAATCAGATAACGGCCACTGCAGATCTTGCAAACCAGCAATAAAAAGTATAGAAAGCCTAATCTGTGAATGCTCTGCTCACTTCTGCAAAAGGCTGAAGGGGATAACACCCCAAGAGGTGGGTACTTTAAGACTCAGGAAGCCGGCCTCCTCTGGGAGAAGCCTATAAATCTTGGACACTAGAGCGGCTGGAACAAGCTATAACGAATCCTAATGCAATCTACAATCTACAAAAAAACGGGAAGTAAGAATATTTGGAAATAATTTACCAAAATAGTAAACATACATCTGCTCTGGAGCAGATGCATTTCGCAAGGAGTAAATGCTTCCAATTTGAAGCAAATACTCTGTTTTATTCATAAGAAAACGAGTATTTGCTTTTTCCTGGAGCATTTGCTTCCTACTTTGAGGTAAGAGGTTTTGCTTCAATTTTTATTCATACTGGATGAAGTATTTGCTTCAGATTTTGGTAGAAAAAGCAAATGCTCTTTTTTATTCATAGGGTAGAATGATGCGTTGTCCGCTTGCGGTGGCTTTGCGTTCTTCCATGATTGGCGTTTTTTTACTACCACTCACAGATTAACCCGTCCTAGGACGGGTTAATCTGTGCTACCACTTCCCATGGAATGTCAAAGTCCATTGATATTATCGTTCTGGTGGTTTAATTTGGCATTCGAGCCAGATTTAAGCAACAGGTACAACAGGTAATATCTTTTACCTACGAGCGTGCGGTAAAGTGCACTTTACCACACGTATTTGCAAATAGAAAGTATCACTTTACCGCGCACTATGCGGTAAAGTGCACTTTACCGCATAGTGTGCGGTAAAGTTAACTTTACATGCGGTAGAGTAGAGTAGAGTAGAATACAAAGTGTGCGGTAAAGTGCACTTTACCGCATAGTGTGCGGTAAAGTAGAATTTGATATTTATAATCAAAAATCCTCTCTTTTTCAGAAAATGGATTTTTGATCATTTCTAAATCCTATCTAATTTTATTAATTAATCTGATTCATTAATTAATTTTATCAATGCCTTTTTTTGGAGATGTAGATGCTCATAGGTAAAATTTTGTACCTAACACATGCGGAAAGTGCCTTTACCGCCCGCAACGGCAGTTGACCGAACGACGCGAAGCGAAGTAAATTGGGAATCGGAGATTCCGCGGCGAGGTGTTTAAAAAACCAGAAGCTTTGAAATTGAAAAATGTTTCAAGAATGAATTCCAGAATAAAATAATACACTGTCACGGATTCCGGGTTCACTAAATGTCACTTCACAAGCAGTAACAACTTTTATTAAACTAATTGACTTTATAAAATTCAATTCTTGCATGCGTAGATTTTGTGGCCGGTAACGCTGCTTTATCGGTTCGGGGTTTAGTAGATGGAAATGATGTTCTACTAAAGGAGTCGTGCCTTTAATTCGTTCAAACTTTGCCAATTGTTGATTTAAAAATTCGGTTAACCTTCGCTCTTCAGTTGGTGTTAAAACTAGGCTCGGTTTTGAATCTATTGGTCCGATAGGACTGCATAGGGTCGGAAACTTAGTCGGAAACGGTAAAAGCTGATTGTCTAGGCGGACTTTCCCGGTACCTAGGTCTGGATGGAACTGGTGGCGGTTTAAAATATCCATTCCAAGCACGATTTCGAATGTCAGCTTT